CGGCGAGAGGGAAAGGGAAGCTAACCAGTAGGAAATCTAGTTAAGCCACTTAAGATACCTGTAAGATTTCGGGCATAGTTGCTCCCACAGTGATTTAACAAGGGAGACATAGAAAACAGCCAAGAGAGATTACTTTCAATATCAAAAGTGCCCAAAACAAAACTTGTCACATCGAAGTGACAGAAAATGATGCAGATTATAACATCTATTTGAAATTATGAGACAGAACAAATTAGTGTCAGATTACATTATCCTTGACTGAACTCTGTGCTTTGCCCTTCTCAGGTAGCTGCTTGCCGACACATTTAATTCTGCAAAGCCAGCTTTGTTTCTGTAAATGAATAGGATTTGAACAAAGTACAGAGCCAAATTATTTCCTCTGGGTAAAAAGCAAGGGATACCCGTAAATGCATTAACTCTGTTAAATTTGGTGTATATCTTGTGCACAGTAAATAATATATATCCGAATACATAAGGATATGCCTAGGTAATTGATATTGGACCCATTGTGTAAGCAGAGGGGGAAGATATTTCTTAAAATTGTATTTTTAATCAAGTACCTAAACTAAGAATTGAGTTCAGCATTAATTTAAAAAGTGGTTTATGTAGAAACTGTATTGACCTCTACCATGGTCTCTGTCAGCAGTCTATACGAAACTATGTGAATGCCATATTATCAAATGATTATAAATAACAAATACTGACTTCTAATGCTCATTTACTCTTGTCCTTTGTTCAGTAATCAACAGATGTTTTGTAGCCATTTTGTACACTTTGTAACCAGTTTTGAACAGTAATTGAATATATTCTCATTTTATAGAATTGTCCAATAAATACCTCAGCCATGAGAAGTTTTGATCACACTGTGTCAACAACTAAGCCACGATAATTTTAATTTAGGATATAATACTGTTTGAAAAAAAAAATGTCTTTACAAAGACCAGCATTTAATGAAATAATAACTAAGACATCTATTAAGTAAACTTTTACTAAACACTCATAAAACCCATGATACTGTGAAATTAATAGAATATAAATATTTTAAAGATGAGTAGAAAATATTGTTTATCTAAGTATTTTCTGAAATTAGCATTTGACTTTACATGATAGAATTTACATTAGAAAAGACAAGTGTAGTGGCACAGACCTGTAATTTCAGCAACTCCAGAGGCTGAGACAGGAGGATCAGAAGTTTGAGGTCAGCCTGAGCAACATAGTGAGACACACAACACTTTGTCTCAATATAAAATAATTAAATGAATGAGGGATGTAGCTCAATGGTAAATTGAGTTCAATCCCCAGTATCAAACTTGGTTCAATCCCCAGTATAAAAAAAAAAAAAATTAGATTGGGGGTGGGTGTTATAAGTTGAACTGTGTTGAATGTAACTTTGGAAACAGGATTATTTCAAAAGTAGTTACTTAAGATGAGGTCATACTGGAGTTGAATGGATCCTTAGTCCATATGACTGTTATCCTTTTAAATGTGGACAAAGGGGAAATGTGGGGAAAGACAGACAGAATGCCATATGAACATGAAGGCAGAGATCAGAGTGATACATTTACAACCAAAAGCCAAAGACTCAGCAAGCCATTAGAACCAAGAGAGAGACATGGAATGGATTCTTCCTCACAGCCCTCAGGAGGAACCAACCTCGATGATACCATGGTCTTAGAATTCTATTCTCCAGAACTGGGAGCCAGTAAATTTCTGTTTAACTCAACCAGTTCGTAGTTCTTTGTTATGGCAGCTGTGGAAGCTAATTTAGGGGGACTGTGATTATCAGTTTGAAATACACTAGACTGCCTAGGAAATGAAGAAAAAGTGCATTTAATGCTGATGGGGATATCTGGAAAACTTGACAGTGTAGTCATAATAGCTGCTTGTGGGGTCACTACTGCACAGCAGATCTGCAAAAGGCTGTCAAGATTTAACACTGACAGGGCTGGGGCACCTCTCCTTCTACCAAGAACTATACAGGCTACTTCACAAAATAAGAGTACAAGATGGACCCTTCCCTGACTTCTTTCTCTTTGCTCAGACTATCTGCTCCACACTTACTGCCTGACTGCTTAGCCTTTACATCCAGCCTAGGCATTAACTCCTCCAGAGTTGGTTTTATAGATTCATAAAGACACACTTATCTCAATATCTTCATTATTATCCTCACCACATTGCCAAATTATTCTCTGTTGATGGATCTGCCTCTCCTACCACTGTTTGCTCCTACCAATAGCATAAAACTTTGTAAACTTCAGTAAATATCCACCAAATATTTCTTCAGCATTTTTTTGGGGGGCTACATCTTCCTCTTAATAGCTAGCCCCCATTATCCTTATCATTTAAGGTAGGTATCTACTATATCAGGCCTGGTGGTGTATGCCTGTAATACCAGTGAGGTGGGAGGCTGAGGCAGGAGGATTACAAATTTGAGACCAGCCTGAGCAACTTAGCTAGATCCTTCTATAGTAAAAAAAAAAAAAAAGAATAGGGGATATAGCAGAATTGGGAGTGCAGCTCAGTGCTAGAGCACCCTGGGTTCAATCCTCAGTACCAAAAATATTTGAGTGTGTGTGTGTGTGTGTGTGTGTGTGTGTGTGTGTACTAAAACATTATAGCTACACTTTTAGGGGTACAAGAAAGCTGTTAGAGGATAAATAAAACCTACAAAAATGTTTCTTAGGTTAAAATTGAAAATAAAAATAATATTTAAAAGCTAGTTTTTAACTACTTATAAGTGGATTTTCATTTGTGGATGAAGGGGAAAAAGAAAACTACATTTCACACATTATTCAGGTCACATGAATCTAAATATATAGTGCAGTTATTGGTGACCTACACAGATCAGAATTGGTCTTGTTGTGAGTAAAAGGAAAGTTTTAAAGACTTGAAATATTTAGAAGGGTTTTGCCACCATCAGGTATTTTCCTGTTTCATACACTATCAAAAGTCTCCAAAGAAAATCAAACTGTTTTACCTAGACACTGATCTTTGCTTGGTATTAGACTTTTCTTAAATCTCCCAAGATATTCCCCAGTATCTGATTCTGATTAATTATTCTTTGACTAAAGCCTATAAAAGTAAACATAGCTGAGTAGCACCAAGTATTATCATCCTAAGCCTAAAGATCCTCTTCCCACCATAAATCATTTTTAAACAATTTTTATGATGACAAGGATTAACGAAATACATAAGATACAGAGAGATGTTTGCTGACTTTTCATGCTGAGTTTGAGTAATTATAGGTTCAGTAATAGGAACAGCAATCTATTTCAGGAACCACTTAAAATCTATATTCAAAACAAGATTGCCTAGGACAGAAAATTTTGTTTAATGATTGTGTAAATGAGTGCAGTTAGAGAAGAATAGACATTGTAATTCCTTCTGCATATGATTTGCCGTCTGGCCTAAATTTCTTCTAAGCATCATATTTGGAATATACAGAATTTTATGTTATAGATGTGATGCTGGTTAATTTTTGTTTTCATCATTTTGGATGTATTCATTGTTTTGAGTTGATTGTTAGATCATAGAGTAATCAGAACTGTATACAGATGTTCCTTGATTTATGGTGGGACTACATCATAATAAACTCACCATAAGGTAAAAATATCTTAAGTAGAACATGTATTTAATACATTCTAACCTACCTAACATCATAGCTCGCCATACAGTACACTGTAGAGTATCATTTGTTTTCCCTCCTGATGTGTGGCTGGCTAGTATTCTATTGCATATCACTAGCTGGGGGGGAAATCAACAATCAAAATTCAGAGAACAATTTGTACTGAATGCATATAATTTTTACACCACCTTTTTAAAGTTTAAAACTTGTGACTTGAACCATCATAAGTCAAAGACCATCTGTGTTCTGCTAGTGATTTCAAGAGGTCACCTTGTTTGTGCAGTCCCGAGACTCAAGGCAAGGTTACCTATGATCAAGCTGGATCAGAATCTGCCTCATTCTTTCTAAAAATTTTCAGGAACAACATCTAGAATCCTATGCAAGGGTAAAAAAACATAAGTGAAAATTCTCCTGTATAGTTTTAATCTCTTCTACATCAGAGACTGATTTCTCCTTATATAAGAGAACAATGCACTCCAGCAAATAAGCTGAGATTCACTTAGGGGACTTTGAAAGAAGCCACTGATTAGTCTCTGGACACACCAAGATTTTTAAGAAATTCTTGCTTTAAAATTTGCATACTTAAGTGTGTACCCTCAAGTACCTGAAGCCTTGCTCAGAAACTACTCTTTACAGAAAATCAGTAGTGTTTAAGGATCTTATTTCCCAGCCCAAATTCATTAGAAGTATCAAATAGAAGGAAAAGGAAACAGGAATTGAAAACACACTAGCTTCAACAAGCAATACAATTTTTGGATACCAAGGAAAGTGACTAAAAAATAACTACAGGATTCCAGAAGCACAACAGCCTTGAGACATCTGTCAGGACAAATATTGCTACCATATCTCAACTGCAACTCAATTATCACTGTTTAATAATGGTAGGGTTGCCAGATTTAACAAGTAAAAATAAGATGCCCAGTTAAATTTGAATTTCAGATAAACAAGGAATAATTTGATAGTACAGTATGTCACACATACTGTGTTTAGCTGAAATTCAAAGTTTACTCAGTGTCTTGCATTTTATCTGTCAATTTCAAATAAGGAACACAAGATGGTGATCCCAAGTTATCAAGAAAAGTACAGACTAGGTTTGGAGTGCAGCACATCAAGTATCTAACAAATATATTGGAAATTATCACATTGATCATATATAAGATCAAGGGAATCAAAAGTTTCAGGTGTTTGGAAAGTTAATTTATATGAAATAGTTTGGACCATTCATTTTCTATTCACTGCAAAGTGCCAGGCATAAAATAAACAGCAAAAATTTGATGAAAAGTTTAACACACCATCTTGTCATTGGTGGCATCTTAAGCCCTGAAGGTTGCCCCTAGCCCCCATTCAATCATTTAGTTCTAGAATGCCTTCACACCTTCTGCTGCAGGTGTCAGTTCCATTGTCCTGATTATGTCCAGGCCCGACTCAGAGTTGGTGTCACTGTCTGTGTCAGGCTCTCGTTCCCTCTTGTGCCTTTGATCCTGTGCTTCCATGATGTCACCTTGAACCTTCTCTGATGAAACTTTTGGAGAGAGATGATGCCTACACTTCCCCAGTGTGGGGCTTCTTCCTACAAGCCCATTGTTATAAGGGCCAGCAGGTGTGCAGTGTGAAGGAAATGGAGGAAGAAGCCCCAGGAGCTTTCCAACCCTACCAACTGATAACAAGCATTACTCTGGGACCAATTGTTGGTCACTTGCAACCCTCCAGGCCTGTGTAAGACTAGGTAGGACTTCACTGGGTGCCCAAGAAACTGCTTGATTTTATCTGAAACTTGTTTCCTGCAATTATTCTTGGTGGCCAGTTAAGTCCAAGAACTTGTGCCCATCTTAGACTAAAAGGAGATACTTACTGCAAATACTTACAGCATTTGTCTTTGAGCAGTGGGACATGGAGTGGGTCTGTGGGAACAAGATATACTTCTGACCTTCAAAGAAGCTTACTTTCTACCTTACATTTGCGTGAAGGTTCTTTTTCAAAATTCCATTTATCATAATGTGGATTTTTTTTTCTGGGGGAAAAGAAGCCATACCAATTACCATCAAAACCAGTACCTCTCACCATAGTGCCTAGTATAGCAAACCTGTAGTAAATGATGCTGTCATTTTTCATGCTAAGAACTCCAAAATTATCCCAAGCCTGAAGTAGTGGAAGAATCTCAGGAGGACCTTCTTGTCCATCAGACTGCCAGTGGCCAATTTTGGCTGCTGTGGTCTATTTTCTGAGCCATCTGTCCCCTTCCACACACATCCCTCTGTGCCTATACTCCCAAGTAGACTGCTACTGTGACATCGACTTGTCTTACTCCTGGGTAATAAACTTAACTCTCACTTCTGATTGCATTTCTAGGGTGGTTCCTCATTATCTTCTATTGCATTGTTTCAAAGACTTCTTCCCATAAATGTCTTCACAAAGAGGAATAAGGGTTCAGACTGAAACTGTCAAAAATGGTACTCCCAGCCATTCACCAGCTGTCATTCCAATTCTAATTTGAAATTCTTCTTTATGATTTTGATCATGGTTAATCCAAAGATCAGGATGCTTTTGACACAAACAGGACACTTTTGGAACAAAGGCCATCGTTATTATTCATTGTGAGAGAATCGATTGGCCCAACTTGAATTTTCTCTTAACATCAGGATTACAGTTTGATTTCTGACTCCTAAAATACACTCTACCTTTAAATTACAAAAGTGGTCAGGTTAGTTAAGCTAGTGTGTTGGCAGCTTATTTTGGTATATGAATAGTAACATGAAAGATGAGGTTGTGGTACACATAAAAACCATTTTAAACTCTTAGGGTGGTCTTCCTTGTTAGAACAACCATGTATGGAGTACTCTACTATGTCTAAAATCCTGTTTTGCCACACAAAGCCTAGCAGGAGGAAAAAAGACCCTTTCCATTTCAAGGAAGCTTATGGTCTGGTGGAGGAGATATGCATACAAATAACTTTAGACTACAAACTCAGAGAACACCTAGGTTCCAAATCAGTCAAGTTGGGTTATAGAGTGTGTGTCTCTTTACATTTCACTTACGTAGGTGGGTTAGAACCAAGGTGGTAATATTTTGGGGGAATTAAAGTCATTAATTATAGAGATTTATCCATGACCCAGGTACGTTCTTAGTATATCCTAATAAAAATCCTATAAGGTAGTAGTGTCAATCCCATTTTACTACTGAACTTGTGGGTCATGCTTTGCCAAAGCCAATGTCTCGGCTTGGCACCAGAATCACGAGCCACCACACAGCTTTGTAGGTTCAAACAGCAATTCTTTATTCCAGCTCTCACACCGCCTCCACACAGGTCCAGGGGCAAACGTGTTCTGCCGTCTCCCGCACAATTCACCTACTCCACGAGGCTCTCTCCAAATCCCATTTTAATCTCACGAGAACTCAACGGGAACAAGCAGCAGGAACACCCTAATCCCAGCAATAATCTTCAACTTCCAACTTCCCTAAAACCCATTATCTTAAACTAGCAACGCCTTAAACTCAAGGAGCCGGTTACTTCCTCAAACCTGATCAGCTCTAAACCCGGATCCGCCTTGGTCCTTGAGAAAGGTCACCTTATGAAAGCATGCATGCAATGTCCCATCGAATGTCCTCTAAGCAGCATGGGGTACGCTTGGCAAGGAAATTTCGATGCGTCATTCCTACTTGGTAATGGCCCTCAGCAATGCTTGAGGTCACATAGTCTAAAATGGGTCAGAGTTGTGACTATTACCTAAGTTTATAAAATTCCAAATGTGTTCCACACTATTGATTTGGACAACAAAGAAACTTGAAAGAAAAGAGATGGATAAATTTAAATTTCACAAAGCATAAGGGAACAAGTAGTCCATAAAGGAAAATCTCAATATATGCTCCAGACACCACAAAAGAATGTCACCTATGACTGCTTCGCTGAGTTTTGTTCCTCCATGGAACCTGGTATTTGAGTACCATGCTTTAAAAGACATGTTTCTGTCTTAGTCAATTATGAGTTCCTATCGAGTTTTGTGGGATGACATATAGTCCATATGACCTTTATTAGTTTCCTAAATAGTTTTTTACTGTGTCTACAAACAGCTAGCACTTATTTACAAGTCAATACAAGAACAATTGCTAAATTATATTAACCGCATGCTTTACTTGTTTTGCTAACAAGCATTTAAATAGACAGAAATTCAGATTCTTTTCATTCCTCTTTATTTCTTGTTCTTCAAAATGTGGCCCATGGAACATAAGCATTGGCACCACCTGGTAGTGGCATGTAGAGCTACTGAATCCAAAGCTGTAGTTTAACTAGATCCCCCAGGTGATTCATACTATATTTAATTTAAGAAGTTATATTCTAGTTTCCTTAGGTAGCATTTCCTTGGTAGATGTGCTAATGACACTCTGCCATGGTCCTCAGGTGTGTATGCCAAGCCCTGCCTGAGGTCTTAGTGATACTAAGATGCCTCCTGTGTTAGAAAGAAAGTAGAATAAAGGAAAGGAGTCCAGAAAAACCTAAAAATGTTTACCTGGGTCAGTGACAATATCTGGTGGATTTTGTTTTGGTGGGGGGCTACTGAGGATTTAACCCAAAGGCATGTTACCACTGAGTATATCCTCAGCCCTTTTTATTTTTTATTTGAGACAGAGTCTCTCACTAAGTTGCTGAAGCTGGCCTTGAATTTAAGATTCTCCTGCCTCAGCCTCCTGAGCTGGAATTGCAGGTGTGTGTACTGTGCCCAGTGAATTTCTGTCTATAAATATTCTACCCTGCAAGAGTAGAGTTCAGAATGGGTTTCAAAGGAGACAATATAACTGAATGTTGTGTTTACGTCTTAAGAAATTATAACTCAGGGAAGTAGTAACTACTGAACAGTTCCTTCTTTCCCTCATGGCTATCTTTCCACAGTGCTCAAAGAAAGATTTAAGAAAGCTAAGCTTCTTAGAAATGGCTCACCTAATAAATATTTGTTGAGTATTTATTATATGCCCACTTCTCTGGACACCTCTGTGGTAGGTGCTCCAGTTACAGATAAACTCTACTTGGGCCTACCCCTTCTGGCAGGCACTCACAGGTGAGTGAAAAAAAAAAAATTATTGTACAAGTTGGTGGGCATGAACAGAAGGCCATGGCTTTGCAGGTTGAGAGGAAAGAACTAATTCTGAACCAGTTTCCTTTGTATTCTGTATTTTCCCTCATTTTCGATAAGCCTTGTAATATTACCTTTATTGCAAAGGATGTTTTCCTTTCAAAAATTTCTCACCTAAGATGCAAATGTTTGAATGGCAGACAGCTACTTTCTTCAGAATTGGAAATAGTCTTGATAAAACCTGGAGTGTCACTTGCCACCCAGCTAAAATTATGCAGCTCATCATTCCAGTACTGTGCTCTGTATTAATGGTATTCAAAATGTAATCTGGGGGCTGGGGATGTGGCTCAAGTGGTAGCGCGCTCGCCTGGCATGTGTGCGGCCCGGGTTCGATCCTCAGCGCCACATACCAACAAAGATGTTGTGTCTGCCGAGAACTAAAAAAAAAAAAAATAGATATTAAAAAAAAAATTTTAAAAAAATGTAATCTGTGTTGATTTGTTCCCAAATACACAGATAAATCCACAATGATAGTTTAGACACTTAATAGAAATTTGACAGTCATACATGAAAGGGCATCACCAGCAGACTAGTCCTGTTGAACAGTTATGGTTCAGGTGTTGAACTAGAATGGGTAAGTCACATGTGAAATGAACTTCACAGTAGCAGTAGAATAATGTACAATTTTTTAAGGTCAAATTTGTCAACTGGAACCCTGTAAAATCCAGAATTCCACTTGTTAATTTGCCTATCAAAGATAATTCAAATTTAGCTATAGATCAATTTTGGTACTGGCTACTGTTAAAGGATTGAAAATGAATGTGGAATGTATAATATTACATGCTGTGTTTTAGATAAAAGTTGAAAATGAATATCTGAATCTTGCAGAAATTAATTTCTTTTCTTCCTTTCTTATCCTCCTACCTCTGTTTTTACTGGTTTCTCTATTAGAGTGTTATTAAAACATAACAGCTGTTTAGATGTACATGATCCCCTGTTAGTAATTCTGTCACCTATCCAATCTAGATTGGATAAACTAACAAGTAAAAAGCAAGCTCAGTTGTAACATGAAAAATTTGAGATATTAAAATACAAGGTGTTTGTTTCAAGTGTGCACACTTGCATTTAATATAGAGAATTGCTATTTCATTCCTTTTTGTTTCGTCATAAATGCAGAACAACAAAAAAGTAGTGAAGCAAGACTTTATTAATTGCCTGCACTCAGGCTTTCAATAAGCAATGAGTATACAATTTTATAATTTATATTTTCCCCTCTGATTAGATCTATTGAAATATATGTCTATTGAATTTAACAATTTTTAAATGTCATCTTGTATTCTCTATTTTCCCTAAATTTATTAGTAATTCATTTTTGTTTTATTTACAAAGATCCAGGTTAATCACTGGATGGGGTGAAAGGAACAGTTTCTTGACCTCGATAGTTTGATTAAAAACTTTTCTCGCTAACCTACTTGTTGATGACTACTGTTGTCATACCGAGCATGGTGAAAAAGAAAGAATACTATTAAGCTAATACAAACTAGGTTTAATTAGCTAATACATATAGAATGTTGACTATGTGCCAGGTCCTATTCTAAGTGCTTTACAGGTTCTAAGCCATTTATTCTTACCTTGTGAATTAGCTACTATTGTATCACCATATTACTGATGAGAACACTGAGGCACAGAGAGATCATGTAGTTCTAAGTGGCAGAGCCCAGAGGCCCTGCTGGGGACATAAAACACTCAATGCAGTCATAGTTCTCCACCAAATGACTATGGGCTTAGGTGAGTAATTTAGGTGAGTAATTTTCCCCTGTGAGAAGAGAAAAGGAAAAATTAGAAAAGATGACAAAAGCTACATTGTAGAGTCCTCATCATGTATCAGGCATTGAGCTAAGTGCATGCATAATCTCAGTGTCTCCTACGTGTGCAGTAATACAGGAAATGGGTTAGTGGTGCCTGGGCAAGGCAGAAGTCAATTGCATAACATAGTGAAAAAGTTATTCCTTCTTCCAGTCTTGTGACCCCTTCTGATTATATCTGGTAGACAGTCTCCCTTAGGTGCAGTTTTTTGTTTTTTTTTTTTAAAGAGAGAGTAAGAGAGGAGAGAGAGAGAATTTTAATGTTTATTTTTTAGTTATCGGCGGATACAACATCTTT